AAAATTAGGAAATATTGTTCGTTAAACTTACAGGGATTAAGTTCAGACATAGATATTGGTAATAAGAGTGACGTAGTAAAATTAGTGAGTGATAAGTGACTGCGTCCGTGACCACATTTTGGCTCTATGGATGCCAGCATAAGTGACACGGGAATAGCACGAGGGAGGGGGGAGTAATATTGTGCACCAGAAGGCAGGATGGTAGTAATGGTGTGCACCAGAAGGCAGGGTGGTAGTAATGCGTGTGCACCAGAAGGCAGGATGGTAGTAATGGTGTGCACCAGAAGGCAGGGTGGTAGTAACCGTATGCTCCTGAAGGCAGAGTTGTGGTCATGGAGTGCAGCCAACAGCTGGGTGGCGGTGATGTGCTGCACACAGCTGCGTGATGCTAGCGGTGTCCTGAACATTGGCAAGTAGCCCTGCCCTGCCAGAGGCCACGGAGCTGCTAGCTATAATAATACTAATCATGGGAAGACACTAAATCCGTAGTCTTACAGAGTTAGAATGAAAGTTAATCAAGTTCGATCCAAGGGAAGAGTAGCCCCAACTCCTTGGAAACAGAGCTCCTCACTGGCATCAAGATACCAATTGGGCCTGGCAGTTGTAAAGGGTAGGTCTGGTACTAGTAATGTCGATATTTGTGGTGGTGCTAACATTGGCTCTTGGGTTCATCAAAAGTAATAGATAGTGCCAGCATCAAGAAATAGCAGTAGAGGATAGAGTGCCAGCATCAACGAAGAGATACGAGAGAGGAGGGGGGGGGGAGAGCACATTCTCCTCTCGTGACAGTGAAAAATTGACAGCGTCAGCCTTGGAACTGAAGCCAAAAGATAAATCACAGGGTTGTCTCCACTCTCGAGCCCAGTGTACTTCTGGATGACGCATATATAAGACAAAGAGACAGACAGACAGACAGACGCAGACAGACAGACACACATACATACACACACACACACACACACACACACACACACACACACACACAGGTAGACTTAGGCAGTGATTAACTGCGTTTTTGCCTTTTGTGGACAGCAGCAAAAATCAAGAATACAGAAATGGGAAGCCAGAGATCAAATAAACGGGGATGCAATGATGGGGAGGTGTAGTCAGGAAGTCCATGGACAGAGGGGGGGAAGGGGGATATTGTTGATGGCTGGGTTCAGACACAATGGACAAAGAGTAAGGAAAAGAAAGTTTTCCTAGCTTCACAGAGGTGGAACATAAGGTGAGGGGAATATTGGAAGCATGTGAGACACATGAAATAATTGTTGTTGCCGCTGAGCAAAAGGTGCATCGCCACGAAGAGGAGATGAAGGAAAGGTGGTGTGAGATGATGATAGTTCCAAATCATAATGTGTGGAGTCAGAAGGGAGAACAAAGGGAAGCAAGGAAGATTTTTGAAGAAATGCTCTCAAAGTAACCGAGAGGTGAATGAGATATGGGGAACAGCAAAGCAACTGATAACAAAAGACAACGAACTCTAATATCGGAGGGAAAGAAAGTGGGAAGAGGAAAGGTGGCGGTCGCTCATTATCCACAGTCTCCTGATGGGTTAAGGGACGACAACTATTGGAATATTGGCATCAGAAGAAAGGGAGGTTCACAGCATCATTGAACATACAGGTACTGAGGCTAAGGTGGCAAATTTTCAGAGTACAAGAAAGTACGAAAGAGAAAAAATACAATACTACCAGTCAAACTAATTCTTGAATTATAAACGGTGTGAGATCAGGTTTTGAGATAGAATACACTGTTGAAGGGAACCGACAGATACATGTGTACCTCGATCGGGACAGAATGCTACAGGAGGGGAAACAAGTGAAAAAGAAAAGAAGAAAGTCAGAGATAGGTAGAAGAACCAGTGAACGTAGAGGCAGGTTCAGAGCACTGTCCTCAGGGGGATACTATGCTCAGCACCACCGTGTGGAAGCTCTGCCTAAGGGGAAAACACAAAGCTTTGAAACAAATAGTTCCCAAACCCTAACCCCCATCTCACTAAGACACAATAACTCTGAACAAATAATACAATAAATGCATCCTCACCCACATACTACCAAACTCCTAACCCCAATCAGTGCAGGATTCTTTCTCACAATCTCCTATCACTGCCCCAAACCCCCTTTCCCATCCATCTTCACCCACTTCGACAATCCCACTCCTTCCAATATAGGATCCACTCCCACAACCAGACCTTACCATTACTCCCATCGTCTACCCTCATCTATACCTCTCCTCCGACACATGGACAAGAACAAAGGGAACAGGATGCCGAAAATAAGAACACAGTAAGGGAAAGGCAACTAAAAGTGTTGTACACTAATGCAGATGGGATAAATAAGAGCGATGAATGAAGGAACAAATAGTGGAGGAATCCCATGACATTGTAACAATAAAGTTCATTTAGGTGATTACAAATGTGTTTGTCCCAGGAGGATATCAACTAATGAGAAAGGACAGGGAAAACAGCAGGTGGAGGAGTAGGGTTGCTGATCAGGAACCAGTGGATTTTTTTTAAGAGATAAAAGGAACAAACGGAGACGGGTCGAATGACTACATAATAGGGACTGGGTTCAAACACATTGGACGTTCTGGGGAACCCAAGGTGATAACATCATTAATGTACAACCCTCCAATCAACAACTGGAGACCAAGGCAGGAATATGACAACAAGAGGGCAATGGTGGGCACAATAGCAGAGGTAGCTAGAAAATCCCACATGGTCAATGCAAAACTTCTAGTCGTCTAATTACCTGGAGGGTATCCGGGGATCAACGTCCCAGCGGCCCGGTCCACGACCAGGCATCCCGATAGATCAGGGCCTGATCAACCAGGCTGTCACTACTGGCCACACGTAGTCCAACGTACGAACCACAGCCCGGCTGATCCGGTTGAAGGCAGCCAGGGATCTATTGGTAATTCCCCTTATGCATGGTGGGAGACTATTGAACAGTCTTGGGCCCCGGACACTTATATTTTTTCTTAGTGTACCAAGAGAAGACTAACCACAAGGAAGTAGACTGGTTAAATCTAGAGAAACAAGGAAGACAAGAAAAAGGTAGAGGGAAAATGAGACTTCAGAACTCTTAGCATAGTGCCTGGTATATGACTGGAGGTTTACGTCAACCGAATAGCCTCAGCAAACAATTTTCCTCTGGCAAATCGAAGAATAACCTTCAGGAATCTCAACAAAGTCATTCCGAGCCCTTTGTACAACATATGTCAGGGTCATTTGGAGTATGTAGCACTAGAATGGAACCCACACCTGAGAGGCGGAGCAACACATATAGGTGAGTGACACACACACACACACACACACACACACACACACACCCTACTTCCCCTTTCGTCTCCAACGAGTTGAAGGACGAGTGACTGCAGCATCAAAAGGTCAGCAAAATCACCGAAACCAATGCGACTGTTTCGACGTCACACTAATAGCGAAAGGTGCGTCGGCGAAGATAATTTCGGAATATAGGACTGGGAATGACGGTTACCGGAGTTACCTGTTCCTCATCAGTAACGCTTAAGTAATACGATGCAACAGAACAACGAAATACCGTGTAAAAACTTTTTTTGAAATCATCATTCGCCTACCTACTTTCGCATGAGAGTTACATCAACAGTTTAGTGAAAGCCAGTTACTAATACTGCATCGCTTAAACTGACACCCAGGTGACACTAGTCAAACTTTGCCTTTCTAGCAGTGACAGTGATGGTGAACGTTCATGCGGAGAAAGTGAACTAAAATTTACTTTAAATATATCGCTCAAATGCCTTATTAGAGGTTTCAAATATGAGCAATGATTCTGTGTCTTTAAAAGTAGATGCATCCGCAATGTGCGGCAATCCTTTACACGCAAACTTAGTTCAGAGACCTGGCAAGAAGGGAGAAGAGGAATAAGGATATGGAAGGATGGATCTGAAGGTGTGAGGGAGAAGAGGGGGGGGGATATAAAGATAACTGACCCAACCAGTTTTGATTTTGACTATATACTATGTGTATGTATGTATAAATGTGTGGGAGGAAGGGGATAGTTTACATTTTATGTAATCTTGAAATATGAGGATGCATAATGCACTACCCAGCACTAGTACACATGTATACATGAATGGTGTCTGCATGTATAATCGTGCGATAGGAGTGGGAAAACTCTCCATATAGGACATGTATATAATATATATCTTATACAGGTCACATGGTGGGAACACCTAGAGAGTGGTCACCTTATGCTATGCGAATTATAGGGTGAAAACATCTGGAGCTTTTGGCAACCCTGTTTTGTTACATAGTGGGAACAATACCTAGCTTAGTTACGCTGTCATATTTCATCACACGGGATGGGCTTTTTACATAGAGCAATGAAATCTGTCAGCCTGAGCTGGGAGGTTTAGGTACAGATTTTCTGTAATCATCAGTATTAGGTACACGAATGACTTTTACCTTAATTCTTCCATCAGGTACTGATTTTTTTTTTACACACAGGACAAAAATGTTTTTTTGCACAAGTTGGCATTGCTGTAGGACAGTTTTCCAACGCATTTTTTCCTCTGGATGCGACTCACAACAGTTGGCTAACACACAGGCATCTATTTTCTGCTAGGTGGGCAGCGGCAGCAGGGATGTAAAGGAAACTTGTCTAAATTTGTCCCCGTGTCAGAGAATGGAAATCGCGATCTTGCGATTTTGAGTCCCCATCCTCCTTCCTGTGAGAATGGCGAGTGTTAGGGATAGGGAAAATGGAAAATGGAGAGGGGAAAGAAAAGATGGGAAGAAGGAGGCGGAGGTCATTGGACAGGTTGGTGTTGGGGGGCGGATTGTGAGGAAAGGGGAACAGCCTCAAGTAAAAGATACTTTCTAGGTGGTGGTGGTTGTTTCCGGATAAAATATTACATACTGTGGCAGATAATACACAAACCAACAGCTCTAATATAATTTTTTCCACCTCAACAACAGCATACATCCCGCTTGCTAAAAAAAATGATCATACTAGTGTACTTGCCTCATAGTCCACCACGGAGTCCTCCTGAGCATAGGACTCTCTGCTCTTCTCCGAGATGGAAGAGAGCGTCTCACCAACCACAGTGTCATTATAGGAGGATGGAGCATACATGGTGTTGGTGGTACTCTTGCTGCTCGCCTGGTCGCTTCCTTCTGTAAAGTAACAAACCAAAATGGGATATCATTAAGATGCCAAAAATAAAAAAAGACAATATGAACGCATTTCAGAAAATTAAAGATCAGTAGATAGCTAAATTAAATGTAAATAATATATAGGTAATTAAATTAAAAATAAATTTGGAAAATAAATTAATAAATAGTAAAACTTAAGATAGTAAAATTAATATGCACACAAAGATTATTTGAAGCAAATAACAGAATGGAATACTCAGAAGACGTAATCTCACCCATGAAACTCTCATGTTTAGATGGTTCTTATTACTAACAAAATGTTTAATTACTTTTTACATTGTTCAGCAGTTGCTGCATTACTGAGCATCCTGCTTTGAAATGATTCATGTAAGGAAGGTTAAGTAACAATACGAGAGTATAAACACTTTCAAGATGGTGAGAAATAGTCCACAGACGCAGCCTTTAATCAACTGAAGTAAAAACTAAGAAAAATGAAAGTGAGATTGGTCGTCTGAGAGACATTTTGCCCGTTGGAACCTTTTCCTGAATATCAGTCTCTCGATGATGTGGTTGAGACAGGATGAGCTGATGAGAAGGCAAGAGTTGGGTGCTGGGTCACGACATGGCAGAGTCATTAGAGGCTAATGGGATGGAGTTTTGTAAGGTCACATGTGCCCGTGAGAAAAAACTAGGTAAGGAGCGCTTCTGATGTGAAGTTTGGTGGAAAAGTGATTTCGCTAATGAAGATGAGATGTGTTTGCTGCAGCAGGGATCACTGTGGTGCATAGGACGTGAACAAGTAAGTCCAGATACACTGTGATGACCGGAATTAGGCGATTTAATTTTCTGGCATGGCATTTGCTACCTCATTTAGCAGAGGTGAAAAAAGCAAGGATCTGGAAAATGTTCTGAACGAAGTGTATGGAGATTGCTCTGCTGACACAACTGAGGCCGAATGAAATGTGTAATGAGTAAATTAAGAGACACTAGATGTATGGTAATGGGTCAGTGTGCTTTGGGAGTTTAGGTCATAAAAGGCAAGTCGAAGATGAAAATTGGGCCAGAGGTAATGGCTCAGTTTTGAAGGAGAGGCGACGCGTGATGGAGGGGATCCTACCGTCTTCCCGTCTCTTGCCTCTCTTTCTGCGTATGAGGCAGATCACGAGAGCAATGTTGAGGATGACTATCATGGTGCCTACAATGGCTACCACTATGATGATCAGCTTGGGAAGGTCTCCGCGTCCACCAAGCACTTGGTTTAACAGCAGTTCGTGGTCACCTAGGAGAGCTTGGCCTGGAAAAGAATCAAAGAAAACAATATTCTATAGTAAAAAGCAGGTGATAGGATTTCAGGGGGAACGACTTACCCTGTGTGGGAGTGAGCGGCATAGTCTTTGGCATGGCAGACGCCGATATGGAAGGTGGGGGCGTCTTCTTGGTAGGCGGGGAAGCTCTCTTGTTCCGTCTCCGTCTAACTATACAGACAATAGCAGAGACGTTGAGAGCAAGCAATGCAGTGGCAACGAGCACTATGATGACGACCCAAAGGCCAGGGAGCTTGGAGGTCTCCTTGCCCACACTGGGGTTGGGGAAGGGCGTGGGAGGGGCCTCGCCTGGTGAAAGAGGGAGAGAAAGCAAGGGTCACACCGGGAGCATGCATAGACCTTGCACATAATTTGGCTTCCTTTCCCTGTATCTTTCTGAACTAACGAACAGCTTCGATTCCCTTATCTGTATGTTCCTCTAGTTCTCCACAGCATCGATTCCATTTCATGTCTTTCAGAATTCCCACATTGATTGGCTTACTTTCTCTATCTTCCTGAGCTAAAAAAAAATAGATTGGTTTTTCCCTTCCATCTATATTCCTGTACTTGCACATCATTGGGGAAATTCTTTAAGATACAAAGAAGGGAATAAGCTATGTGCAGGTACAGGAACATAGATGGAAGGGAAAAACCAATCTGTTTGTTAGCTCAGAACCCCTGAAACACTCTCCAGGTAAACAGCCTGAGCTTATTCCTTGTGCCTTTTTGTGGAATATAGTGTCGAACAGTGTGAAACTGTAGCAGACTTCGCCTGCAGTGGTCCTCGGATAGGAAGGAAGACACAGGACCATGAAACGAGGTCAGTGAGCGTCCCATGTCTTCCAACTTGCAAAGATCGTGTGGTAACCAAGACGTGAAGTAGCGACGATGGCCTGCACTGCTAGGTTACAATTAAATTTATAGCAAAGCGCTAAACTCGTAGGGGGTTAGGCAGTGCCTGGGACTGGACGGCAACCAAGTTTAATTCAAGAGGTAACTTGCTTGAATTACTTGGATCAAGAGTTCTCCAGTAACATCTGGGCCCCTCCCCCTTGAAGGGCACTGGTGATTAAATTCAGGTAAATAACGCTTTATTTTCGTTAGGTTACGTCAACCCAACCACGGAACGGACGGGGATTGAACCCTGCCCGCTGCGTGGTTTGTTTGCAATCGTTTTATTACGATTTCGTGAGTTGTCAACCTAACCTAAAAAAAAAATAGCATGTAAGTCTCACTGATGTTTAAGCGTCCTTAAAGGAACAACCGCTGAATCAAACAGAAATATTCCAAATACTGTCAAGAAACTCAGTACTAAATCACTAAGAAAAATAAAAAAGCCATGGAAAATGGCACACGAGCACGGACAAGGACACGGACACAGCTTCAAATTATGGAATAAAATACCCAACTGATACCAGCTTACTCTCCTCTTTCCCCGCCAGACCAAATTAAATAAGATTTGTAATCCGCTTCCCAGCACTCCTCCCACAGCCACACCCACACCCACACCCCCACTCACTCCCCCTCCTCACCCACACTCCATTCTCTCTATCCACGTCTACACTCCACTCTCTGCCCATCCACGCCCACTCCCCATCAACACCCACACCCCATTCACGCACCCCCTCCTTCTTCCCTATCCATGCCCACACTACACACTCCCCATCTACACACCCCACTCTTTCTCCCCATCCACGTCCACATCCGAAGCCTCACAATGACACCCCTCTCCACCCACCACCACTCTCCCACTCTATCCGCCTCCACGGCAACACTCCACGACTCCCACCTCCTCACCCCCACTCTTTCCACCTCCATACTCCACTCCGCCCACCGCCCCTTCTCCATCCTCAGGAGATCCCCAACTCGGGCTGTCCACTCAGTTTTCCGTGTAAATTTTTTCATAAGACCCATGTTTAGGTAGTGTTTATGAGCCGTATTTCCAGGATTTAGCGTTGATGAAGGAAGCTATCTTTCAGGCGAGGATGCTTACTGTGTGGAGGAGAGAGGGTGTGGAGGAGAGTGGAGGAGAGAGGGTGTGGAGGAGAGTGGAGGAGTAAATGGGCGTTCAGGAAGGGAAAGTAGAGAAAAGAGGGTAGAAGAAAGAGGTATAGAGGAAAGCGAAGTAGGAAAGACGGTGTACGGAGGAGACTGAGCGGAAGAGAAGGGTAGAGAGAAGGGGTGGAAGAAATAGGGAGGAGACAGTAGAAAGTGAACGATGATGATGATTTATATAACAAAATTGGATATATCAGCAGTGTGTTGCTACCCAACTCAAAATGATAATTACAATATGGTAACAATATCTACATATTTTACCACTCAAATTCCATTACACGGGATGAGTTTTTGTACAGGAGGTCATGTAGTGCGTCAGCCTAAGCTGTGAGACTTCATTAAGGCAAGGAGGATACTCTCAAGTGTTCTATGGGTTCACTAGCTGTGGGAGTTTCAAAGGTATCGTTCCAGCAGAGGTAAAGTTATTATTTGGGATTTACAATCTCTGAAGAGAGAGGCCTTCTTCATCTCGTCCCAGAATCCCATGCATATACAGACGACTGTACTCTGACATTTACTTATCCAAGAGAGGAAATGCCAGCTGCTCTAAGAGCTATATCAGTCTGGAGAAACCGATGGCAGGTAACATTTGGTCCCGAGAAAACACAAATGATGATGGTCTCTAGGAACCATGATGGTAATGCTGGAGCAGTAGTAAGTATCAATGGGAGAGTGTTGGAACCTGGGGATGAAGTTGACATCCTTGGAGAAAAATATGATTCCAAACCGACCATGAAGGACCACGTTGTAAAATCTTCCCAACAAGGCGGCCAGGAAGCTTACAGCACTTCGACGAATCTCGCATTTGCTCGACAGTAGGGGTTGCAAGATTCTGTATGAGACCCAAGTACGATGACACCTTGAGTATGCTCCACTTTCTTGAATTGCCTGCCCCCCCCTCTCTCTCTCTCTCTCTCTCTCTCTCTCTCTCTCTCATCTGCGACTTCTTGACAGAGTAGAAAACAAAGCAAGACGCCTGATCTCTCTCCTGGATCCAGCCAATACTGTCAAAGTACCACAATTGGCTCCAGTCCGAGGACAGCGAGAAGTAAGCTTCTACATAACAAGACGGGCAGCAAGCAGCAACTCAATCTGCCTGTACCCTTCTCCAGAACATCGCTACATCTGAGATCATTTATTACTAGGATGACTCGAGTCTGGAACACGTTCGTACAGCATATCAACGAAATAAAGTCAGTTTATCAAACGAAATTGCTGGCCCACAGATGGCTCCAACTTCATCCTGATCCTTGTCTGTATGTCTCATAACAATAAAAATGCTTTTAAATGAGCTGATGTAGGTAACAGCTCTTAGTCATTAAAAAAGTTAGGGACCCTTAGCCTAATCTTGTAAAACCCTGTGTAAAAAAAGAGAGAGAGAGCGGAAGACGGGGGGGGGGGGGGAAGAAGGGCGTAATTACCTTCATGAAAAGACCTCAGTAGTTCTCAGTGGGACAATCAACAAGGCACTCAATCGATGACAGTGTTCCACAGGAAAGTGTGCTTGGGCCATTGTTATAGAATGTCTACTTCAATGGACCTTTAACACATCCCAGAATCCCATGCATGTGGGCACGACTGCACTCTGACATTTAATTATCCATTGAGACGAAATGCCAGCGGCTCTCAGTTACATCAATCAACCGCTTATAGTTATCATCATCCTGGGGGAAACGATGACAGGTTATGTTTGTAAAGTAATAGGACAAGTGCAACTAATGTGATTGGACTGAACACATCGACTCCAGGTTGAGGGATTGATTACCTCATACTCCTCCTCTCCTTACGCCTTCCTCTTTGTATTGGACTGATGAAGCCACTGTGTGGCGAAACGTTTCCTCAAAAAAGATACCCAAGAGTTGCACATGTGTCTAATTTATCAACGTGTCTGTTCTCTGAATCATTCATCTACAGGCATAAATGTGTTAACTGAGGCGGGTGTCGAGGTTTCTTGCTGTTTCACCTACATAAATCTTGTCGCAGCCGCCACAGGGTATAGTGTAAACCCCTGCGTTGACTGGTTCGTGGTGCTTTGATTTTGTCCTGGTTAGATCCTTTACTGAAGTGCTGGAAGTGACGACGACTCTAGTGTTAGCTTGTGAAAGTACTTTAGAAATGTTCAGTGCAACCTGGCTGTTGGGAAGAATTATAACTTTGTTAGAAGTGGTGTTGGTGCGTGGAGAATTGATGAACTGAAGAGGTCTTTTCTTGCAATCTTTGATGAAAAAGGAAGGAAAACGTAAATCAGTGAAGGTTTGGTGAATGTATGTGCATTCCTCGTCAAGAAACTTCAAGTTTACCGGAAACCCACAAATAAAAATGATCTCACACACGTCTATTCCAAAGCAGAAGCAAGGCGCCTGACGCTTATATACTAACGTCAGGTGGAAATGGGACGTGAAGCAGACGAGGGCATAGTCACTTGTAGGCGGGATTCCCCAGTGGAAGTAGGTCCTACCCAAAGAGATGGGTTAGTTGTAGTAGTTGTCGTAGTCGTAAAGGTTATGTATATGTCCTTAGAATCAAGATTCCATAATGTTGCAGTGTGTGACAAGTTGTACAAGAATGGTATACAATACCGACAAGATGAAATTAAGATACCCAGATGTTGCACATGTGTCTTAATTTCATCTTGTCGGTATTGTATACCATTCTTGTACTTGTCACACACTGCAACATTATGGAATCTTGATTCTGAGGACATATACATAACCTTTACGACTACAACAACTACTACTACAACTAACCCATCTCTTTGGGTAGGACCTACTTCTACTGGGGAATCCCGCCTACCAGTGACTATGCCCTCGTCTGCTACATCTGACGTTAGTATATAAGCGTCTGGCGCCTTGCTTCTGCTTCAGAATCTTCACGACTACGGTGCTCTTCGCACCTACTCCAAGGTTGAGGGACTGATTACCTCATCTTCTGTACATAGTTCTACTGTTTTCAAGTTATGTCCTGGAACTTGTATTAATAAAGCCACTGGATGGCGAAACGTCTACAATAAAGATACCCAGATGTTGCACATGTGTCTTAATTTCACCTCTATTCTAGTCAAGATATTTGCTTCTGAGAAAAAAATTATGATGGTTTTTAGGCACTATGATGGTAATGCTGGAACAGTGGTAAGAATGAATGGGAAGAATGCTGGAACCCGGGGATGAAGATGGTATCCTGAGGGTGAAATTTGGTTACAAACTATGAAGAACCACATAACATCTTGCAAACAAGGCAGCAAGGAAGTTTACAACACTAAGGCGTATCTCAT